AACACAATTTTAATTTCCAATATAAACTTTCACTTTCCAGTCTACAGGTCAAGAATAAATTTATATACCTGGATACTCTGCACACATAGTGCCACTTTATGGCCAAATATCTTCCAAATTTAACTAAAACTGTTCAGGGCCATAGGCACCGAAAGAGTGGGCCCCAAGAGCTAAAGTTGATTTTTTACTGAAAATATTGCTCAATGCATATTAAAACCCAGTGATAATCCCTTCCTGATAATGGTATATCAGTGTGTCAAAAATGGGTTTAATCGGGTCAGCACTAACCCTTGACCCCATCCAACGAACAAGCCTTATGTATCTGAAGGTACTTGCCTCGCTAAAATCCTTGCCAGTTGCATGAGCTTGATATGTTCAGTTATGCTCGAACTTAGCTCTTCTTTACTTGCTTTTAATAATTCTTTGTTTTTTTTTTTTTTTCTGATTTTTGAAAATGGATATCTCACTAAGGCTTATCTATATCAAAACATTTTATGAAAAATCTCAAAAAACTTTTTGTAGAACTTGAATGCTTGATCTATAAAAAATTACAAAACTGTAAAGGGGGGATCCTCTGCTAAAAAATAATAGCTCATACTTAGAGAGATTTTCGTAGAGAAAGTGTTTTAAGAGTTCCAAGCGAAAAAAAAACATTTTTTTTGACCCACCATAACATATGTTTACCCATATATGTATATAAATACTTGTATATACAAATATGCTGACAATTAATATTTGACCCATTATCTATACTCACATTTATCACGTAGTCCTTCGGRTTGTGCGCATTCGTGCCGCACACATACAGACGCGAGCCGGACTCCATCGGTTGTATGACGCGTATGTGGTTGCGGCATTCCACCTTCTTGAAGAAAGTTATCGGTCATGGGTGTGTGTGTGTATCGTTGTTGTTGTTGTCACCATCATTTACAGTTGTATGTTGGTCATATTGTTTGCATTGTTTTTATGTTTTTCGTATTATTTTATTTTCGTTGCACCAAAAATGAAAGTCAAAGCACACACACAAAGCAAAGAAATTGTGAAAACAACAATAGCAAAAACACAAATGAAGTAGGAAAATATAACGTTTGTGAGTTATGCGGGGGGAGAGAGAGAGAAAAAACACAATTGCATATTTGTTAAAAATTTCCAGTTAAATTTTAATTGCCAAAATGTGTGAAAAATTTATTGAATTGTTTTTGTTGTTAATTTTGAAAGTTTTTCAGTTTTTGTTTCATACACTTGTGTTCTTTTGTTTAGAGAGTTGTTATGTAAACTACATATGTAAGTGGTTAGTTGGGTAAATAAATATATGTATGTAAATGTTGTTGTTTTATAATGGGATCTATGTTTTACATGCGTTTAAAATTTTTATTGTTAACTAATTTGGGTTTTTAGTTGCTAAAAGTCTACATTGTTATGTTTACTACATTTAAATATTTTATTTGTTTAGTTTTTTTTTCAAAGTATTAGTTTAAATGGTGCTTAGCATTCGTCAACATACCTCTCGTTTGCCTTTGGAAACACAACTGAGTATATCTGAACCGGATGGTTCCAATATGAGCACATCGCGCTGCAAATAGAGAAGAGTGTGGAAAGTTGTAATTAAATTTATTGCTAGGTTGCTCTATAATCAAAAAAAAATTTCTTGGAAAGTTTAGTCTGTTGGTTTTAAATAAAGAAAAATCCACTTCAGATAAACAATAACTATTTTTCCTAAACAATATATATATATATTAAGAAAATAAAACAGAAACTTTAAATTTAATGCGGATTGTTTCTTATCATCCGAAAGAACATTTTTTTCCATTTATTTTTTCAAGATTGTCCCTTTTAAATGTTGGCCACGGCTACGTCTGAGGTGGTCCATCTGCTGAGTCTAATTTTCGATGGCTCGTTCGAGCATTTCGACTAGTAATTGGCGAATGATACGCGTAATGCTTTGCCTGAATCAAGGCAGAATTTTCCGCACAGACTTTAGACTTTACATATCCCTACAGAAAAAAGTAAAAAGGTGTGATATCATACTATCTTCGTAAATTTCTGACCGTTTCAAAGCACTTTGTCGATGTATGAGAATTTTTATGTTAAATTTGTATAGGGGTTCAAGTACCATAGGGAACCGGCTTTATAAGCTACCCAAGCACTTTTTATGACCAAACATTTAAACTAAACTAAGGTATATGCAATTCCACAGCGGCATTAGAATCAAAGCAGTGAGTATCTTCCACAAGTATATTATCGCTAACTAGAAGGCATGATTTTAAACTTGGCAAATAATCCTATTTTAGAACATACTACAAGATATTGGTAGATTTATATTTATAGAGAGTAATATAGTATGTTGTTTTTAAATTTTTTCTATAATTTTCTAAATAGTATTCATAGAATTTATAAATTCTTAATGGTTGTAGAAACATTACGGCCTCTGTAGCGCATCCTGAGATGATCTCTGAGGTTACTCCAAAAAATGTTTTTAATCCTAATATGTATGTATAGGTATAATATCAGAAAGAGGTTCGCAGAATCAAAAGCTCTCTTTAAAATTATTTTTATGATTGGTGCTGATTTCTAAATATCTTTATCGAGAAAGAAATAAAATGTGTCTTGTCTATTGATTCTATTGATTCGCAACAAGTAAGCCACATGYAGTTAATTTTTTAATTTTTGGGAACCTGTAGCATTCCTTTATAATTACTACAAGGTCTAGAATTTACGACCCTTTGATGTTGGTTATTAAAGAAAGAAAAATCAGGCCAAATCATAGATATAAGTCGAGTCGTAAGTTCACATCTCAGCCGTGCTTTACCTACTTGAAGCTTTAATAAAAAACAGCTGACCTGCCTTAGTATACTTGGCTTTAATATTATTGAATTAATTTCCGTGAAAGAAATAATTGCCTATATGACACTTGAGCTTGTGGYCAATGTTCTTGAAGAGTGAACGTATCACAGCTGTTGCCTACATCTCTATTACAGTATTACTTACTATGCCAACCCATACTGTCGTAACACATCTACTGACTTAACCAAATCATACGAATATTTTTCTATAAAAATAAATTCATATTATATGAAAATTCATAGAGCACGTCCACTTAAAGTTGCATAAGCAAGCGTAGGGACAGACAGACGGACACTCGACACACTTTCTTATATTGTGGTAGTCAACTCCGTTAGCCCATATATTGGTATGACTCAATAAAAACTGTTGTAGCCACACAACGTGCAAAAAAAAAATGTTTAACAAATATTATACAAAACAGCAGGGTCTTAGCAGAACACGCACATATATACGTTTAAATGTTTTTGTGTGCGTAAAACATGTGAATATKGACAGCCGTTACTTATTGTGTGTTTATTTAGCACTACTTGCATGCTTTCCTGTCTGCCAGTCAGTATTTGAAGTCTGAAGTCCGCAACTTGGATGTATGCAAGCCGGTATGTGTGTATATTTGTGTTTGTGTATAAAGGATATATACTTAGTGGAGCAGATACTCAAGTGCAATGGAGGATATCTTCTCGACGCTCGTACGCCCACTTCAATTCAGCACTTGAGCGTTAGTATCTCTACTAGCTCGCACTTATCGCGTGGCTTAATACCAAACTGCTGCAGCAGAGCAAAAAAAACTCGAACGGATGGACAAGGAAAAAAAAAAAAAACTTGCAGAAATGAAAAAGTTGAGTGCTATCGAGGAGCAAGATGAAAGATGCAGCAGACACATACACAGATACTGCATGTGTTGGAGCGTTTGCTGAGCTAAAGTATAAAGAACTTGCAGTTAAAGATRGAGAGCATAGCAAAAACTGCAAGAACAAATTGTGCGAGGCATTGGCGTGTTGCGAAGCGAGTTAAGGAAAAAACTCAGACTGAAATGTKGCAAATGAAAAAGTAATAAAAGCTGAACTTGAACTAAAAACGGAAAAGGATATTGATAGTTGAAGACGAAGTCATTAGACTGTAGTGAGTGCACTCCTACACACATATATGAAGTTTTCCTTACACTTTTATCAAAGCCAATATYCTCTTAGTACACTTTTTTTGCTCTTTTTTGTTTCTTCTACCCACTTTCTACTACATCTTCCCTCTTTCTCCATAGTCTCACTTCGTCAACATCCATTTTTTTGCTCTGTCCTTTCAACTTCTTCTTCTTCATCTCACTTTGAACTCCTGCCCGCTTACCCAAATGCGATAATGGTCCGTAATGGTGGGAAAAATATTGCCAACCGATTGGCGTCAGCGGCCAGTAAGGCAGCTCAGAGACCAGCGTAGTCGATATACAAATAAAAAAAATCGAAGGAATGGAAGAAATCGAAGAAATAAGTGAGCAAATGAAATGGCGACTCAATYGGTCGGCAAGCAATCGAAAATGCATAGGCAGTCAAGCGCCAAGTAATAAGCATTCAGCAAAGGAGGAAAGAAATCGGAAAAATCAGAAATCAGCAGACTCGAGACAGCAGCGGCCGCGTAATGAAGCCAATGCACTGCAAAATCAAAAAAAAAAACAAAAAAAAAAAAGTCTCAATATATAAAGCACAAATATGTAGATGTATTAAAGTATTATCGAGCGTTCGAGGCGACAGCTGGCAGTGCCGTTATTTACAAGAACTAAGAGGCCTACATACTTCCTGTGCGACTTCTGCTCTTCTGCGAGTGATTTCGGTCAGTTACTTAAACACACGAGTTTTTTTTCCCCTCCTTATTTTCTGAAACAATTTATATATATTTAAGCATCGACGGCCGCTTCAGAAGTGCGGTGAGGGAAGGGYAGCCACCGGCGTATGCAAATTGTTTGAACAAAATGCGAGAGCAAGAGCGGCATAAGCAAATGCTGATGGGCGTAACCGTTGTAAGGTCGTAGCTTGTGTGCTTCCGGGCAATTTGTGCATTTTGCATTCAAATGCATTTGCACTTTGTACTTTTAAGCGTATTTTGTGGCATAAATTATGGCTTAAAGGTGTTTCTCGTTTTTTGTAATGCTGTTGGCCTCTCTGGGGCAAATGTAAATTTGATTACAAATTGTTGAAGGATAAGAGAAAATTTTGCTTTATGCTATTTTAGGAATATTGCGGGTTTTGGTGCACTTTTGGCATGCAGAAGATGAGAGAGAATAAAGTATTATATTATATAACAGAATTATTGAATTCCAAATATAAATTATTACCTGTTAAATTTTGAAAACTTTCTGAAGAGAAGTTAAAAACAATAAAAACCATTAACTTCGGTTACAACGAAAACACAATACCTTTAACATATACAGAAGATTTCTTACTAAAACTTGGAATGGTCAGTTAGTGTGGCAGCTATATGCTATGAGGACCTTAAATCGGTAGTACCAACAAATTAACAGCTTCTTAGGCAGAAAAGGCTGGGACTAGTTCGGAGTTATGGCATGCAGGTCTACTTCTTCTCGTTTTTGGGAATGTACTGCAGATATATGTCACATAGAAAGACTTAAAGATTAAAGATCGTATGCAAAATACTTGTTTTGTGTATTGCGCATATTTCTTCTTCATGTCATTAATGTAAAAAAAGCCTTAGCCGAAAGTCTGCGTATTTTAATGATTGTTTAAGGTGAACATACTCTAGCTGAGCGAACGTGSCAAGAGTGGTTTSCACAATTTGAAGTAGTGATTTTGGCTTGGAAGACGAATACCAGCTAAAAACGTTTGAAGATGAGTAACTAAATATATTACTACAACGAAATCTTTACGAAACACAAGAAGAGCTGCTGGAATATTTGGGAGTCGTTCAAACAACCATTTCAAAGCGTTGTCGATCAGCAACATACCTTTAAGGAAGTTAAGGTCCACGCTCCGCATGTCCGAGATGTTGCTTGAACTCTACACAGAGAAACTGCAAAGATGACCGTCTTGTGATGAGAAATTTATCTATTACGATAACATTATACCCAAATGTAGCACGTAAGTGATGGCCAGGTTTCGTCAGCCAAATCCATGACGCCAAGGTAATGCTTTGTATTTGGTGGGATCAGAAAGAAAGCGCGGTAATTTGARCCTCTAAGAAAGCACAAGCCATAAATGGGTAACGCAACGGACAACACTTCCCAAAATTGAAATGAGCGGTAGCTGAAAAACGCCTTGACACAAGGCAATAACTTTCGTTAATGATAATTTTCCGCATGCTTAAAGACCTTTTAAAACTATTTAAAAACAGAAATGTGGCTGGGGAGTTTTGGCTCATCTGGCCCTCACTGAAATATAGTTCACATCAGAAAAGGGCTGATTCAGTCTTGCCAGAAAGATAGAAAATTTTTATAGCCTCAAATAGGCAATACTCTGAGYAATCCTATGGTATATGTTTTCATTGCTCAAACGGTCAAAATTTGAATAAACGTAATATATTTTCGCTGTCCATCTATCTGTGTATACGGGAACTAGTCGCTCAGTTTTTGAGATATCAGTCTGATTTTACACATGACCCTTTTATTCCCGAGAAGCTGCTAATTTGGCGGAACCGCCGATATCGAATCCAATTGCGAATTTAAGGATCGTTATTAAGGGGGCATCAAAAAATCGATGTTTTTGAGGATTTTTTTTGGGAGGGATAACAATAGTTGATTAAAGCTTAATTTCTAGGGTTTATGGTTACATATTTAAACATCATCCGTAAATTTTTTGGATATGAAATCTTTTATATTCTGTCATTGAGAAGCGATTGCMCGATGCATCTGGTAAAATTCTAAAAAAGTTTTTAAATTAAAAAAAACGTAGTTCTTGACCAAAAAATGTTTGCTTTAGTTGTTTTTCAAATTTGACTTTTTCTGGTTTTTTTTAGTTTAGTTTTTTTTTCTATCCTGCCCGCCAATTAAGAAAAATCGTAAAAATGAAAAATCGAAAAATCGCTAGTCAAAGCTTTCACTTTCCACCACAGCGCTTATATATGTACCTGCTAGACGCTCGGCCACTATTTCGCCTCTAGCGTCGACAATATTTCGAATATTTCCCATCTATAAATTTCTTAAATAATTTTAAACAGATTTTAGCAAAAAAATCGCTTTTTTGAAGCCTTTAAAGTGTTTGAGCTAAGGCTGTAGTAATTATAATTGAATTATAAGTTTTAGAAAAAATTAATTTTTAATTACATATAAAAAATGTATTTATGAAAGGTATTCTTTAAAATTCCCGCTTTTGGCGGGTTCTTTCCTCAATGATTGAACGGTAATTGATTTTTGTTACATTTATTAGATTTATACATATTTTTGCAAAAAAATTATTTGGGAATGTCATTTATCAGCATCTTAAACAGATCGACTGGACGAAGTTTCAAATGAATATATTTTATTATATAGCTTATGGAAAAGTACATTTCTTCATTCAAATAGCAGAAGCAAATGTATCATACATATGGACGACAAATGTAGAAACTCAAAATGTGGCGAAATATTAATTTTGAAGCCCAAACACCTGTTTTAAAATTTTCTAATTTTTCTCAACTCCCCGTACTTGCCATCATTGCCACGCTGAATAATTATTTTACTTTTATTTTTCCGTTTAGTCACCGAAGCAAAATCAATTTTCTTGCTTGCATAATACAATTTTTAAAAACGTGCCGAACGAAAAATTAAAAATAACAACAACAAATATAGAAAATGTATGCACGTAGCACAAGCAATAAATGGCATTTTCAAAGCGACTTTTCACCGGCACACATACAAATAAAGTAAGGATAGCAACAAGAATAAATAAAAACCAACCAAAGAGTGCCACAAATACAGGCGAAAATGCATATTCATTGCAAAAATATAGTACACGTTTGAAAAATACATATACAAATATATAATAATATATGTATATGCTTAGTAGCCTTAAAAGAAAAATTTCGATTTGCAATTTTGTATTTTGTATTCAATACGCTGTCGCTGGTGTCTGGTACCGCAGAGTACAAGTCACGTGGCTGACTCGCTCCCCACGCCCACACGCCTAACTGTCGCTCGAAGGAAGAACACAGCAATGATTTTCGTTTGTTGCTTTGCTGCCGCGCCGCATTGCCTTTAGAAATTTGGGGGTCAGGGTTGCGGGTAGCGCCAACGAAAAATCGAATTAAATAAACAAGCGTGTAACGTGAGCAAAATACCAAATGACATTTTAAATGGCGGCGCATTCAATAGCGTTCGAAGCTTTTACCAATCGCTTTATGCAACCATTTCATTTCATATATGTGTATGAGTACATTGTATATTAATGTATGTGTGTGTGGCAGCGCGTATTCTTGTATTAGCTAAGTCGCTGCTCTGTCGAAAATTTTTTTTTTTTTATTTTAGCTGCTTTGTTGTTGCTTTATCATAAATTGTTGTTTAGCATTTTTCAATTGTTGCTTTTGCTGGTGCACATTGCCGGAACGTGCCACTATGCACGGCAGTTAATCCAGCTGCGTATGCTGCTATGTGTGTGTGTGTGTGTTTGGTAGAAATTGTGGCACGATTTGAATAAAGGAAAGTATTTATTGAATATTTAAATTTTCCTTTACACACACACACATGTACATAAATGTCTTATGCTTCTGCAACATTATAAAGTTAGTTTGTTGCTTGAAGCCYTGCTTGAGATTCCTCTTGTTTTAACATAATACGATTTTTTCTTGGAAATTAAAGTTTATTTGTGGCATGCATGGCAGGAGAAACAATTAAAAAAGGCGGCTAAATTAATTATTAAGTTAATTTTTGGCACAATAAATTATATACAGAACTAGTTASAAAAATTTTAGTTCAGCAAGAAATTTGCTGACGAAAACTTTGATATACCCGAAAATCAAGTGAGAGGTTAGACGAAAGTTAAAAATCAATAGCTGCCTTTAAATCAACAGATAACTGCTTTCAAAGCCGACAACTGGAAARCATTGGCAGCTGTCGCATTGATATAGCAAACTACAACAACATCAAACGCTGTATTTAATGGTTAAGCGATGTAGCAAGCAACGTGCAACAAAAAACTGTGCACCTTRCAGCACGCATGAGCACAGAAACACATACATAGAAATCTACGTAGCAAATTGTCGTCAGTTCGTACATGTGTCCGTACGCAGCTAACTTTCCCCTTCATCTTACAAGTTTCGTATACGCACTGTTGACAACACAAGAGCATATGTTGTCTGCCCGCGCTATAAAGCAGTGCAAACACACAGAAGACAAGCCACATATGTACTCTTATGTATGAGCAGAGAGCGAARTCCACCTGTCTTTTTAGCTTGCCCTGCACTACAAGCGGACAGACATTTCGATTTCATGAGCGTTTAGGAAATGCACAGCTCTGCGTCAAATGTGCGACTAACGCTGCTCTGCTACCGACATTTTTACTTCGCAATTCTTTTCTGCAGTTTTCTTTGTTGTTGTAGTTGTTGCAGTTGTTTTGCTATTTTGTTGTTGGCWGCTGCTTAGTCGCCAGCACATTCTGTTTGCATTTCCGACTTCAGTTGCCTTTTGCGGCGAAACAACTCGAAAATCAAGCCATGCATATGCTGCAAATAACCATTGAACTCGTTAGCTTCTGCGAACCGCCTTTCTCCTCACATTGGATTTCTTTTTGAAATCAACTACAAACCCTTTCGCTATTGCGATTTCTTTAAAGACTCGCTTACAACTTCTGCGTCCAAGTTGCCTATGTTTGTGTGTATGTATCCGCGTTTTTTCCAATTTATTTTTGTCAAACTTCGTTTATTTTTATTTTGTGTTTCTAGTGGAATGTCTTCTTTAGTCGCGCCGATTCACTTCCTGTTTTGGCTTTTGCTTAGTTGCAAGTGCTCAGCGCTGCCACAGCGCGTTGTTGCTTCTTTGCTCGCTTTGGGAGCACTTTCGCAGAAGCGTTGCTATGATATTTTACTTTACTTTAGCTTGAGCTTGCATTTGTGTTTATTTCTTGAAATTCTTTTGTATGTTTTCATACAGAAATTGCTTTGGTGTACTTACCTCACAAATTGATTGACTTATATTCTGCAGATTCAAGCGAAATATCCGATCCCTGTAACATAAGAAAAATTTAACGTCATTATTAAATGGAAATATTTTATAAAAAGTTTTTTTATAAAATAATTATGTATTATACTTTTAAAAATATTTTGCTAAATTTTGGGAATAAAGTTATATAAAATCTACACGATTCCAACTAAGTAAGTTTCATCAGTGACTTCAAGAAATAATACAGAGGCAAAWCTAAATAAAATTCCATCCAACCAAAAAGTTATTCTCAATGTAGTTTGTAAGTACTGGGGAAACGAAAAGCAACACTTCCCGCAAATGACGTTTATTTGGCAAAAAAGCGGACATATTCGCGAAACCAAACACGAGGTTAATATTATAAGATAGACGCATAAGGACCTTCCAACTAAGCTTTCCGAACTTTTGTCGAGACGCTGTTGTTGTCCTGATGGAACCCAATTCCTCTCCTTTGGCCAAAGCTTTCTACCGCGATTTCTGACAGATTGCTTACTTCAGACGATCCAATTGCGTAGAGCGTAAGTTCATATCAACAGTTTGGCTATAGGGGAGCAGGACAGTAACCTTCCGGACCGTCGAACTTGGGTTTAAACTATTCGCGTCGRCCAGACAATTATTGACTTCCATACAACACACGCAACTAAATAGTTTCCCGTAGCGCCACGTCGTGATGGGTACAATGCAACAACAAACACTGTGCTGCTAAAGCAAAATCGCCATAATTTTTCCACTCATTATCAATCCGTTTATCCAAAGTAGGAATGAAGTTGCTTACTTCTGGCGCCACTTTCAACTTCTGCCCTGCTTCTCAGGACATACGAGATTACTGCCTTGATTGCTGATTGGCTGTCTACCTAGATGTGGATTCTGGAATTTTCGCAGCTTCTGCAATAACAAAAACCTCAATTTGAAATATACTGCAGTGGTCCGCTAATTTAAAGGGTGCCTTATGCCTAACTCTGGATAGTATATTCCCGCACCAACTTCATCGTCCTTTTTCAAGCCTTCAGTTTAGATGTTTAGACTGTTGCGCGTAGCTGACATACCTTGGTGTTTGTCCAACCGCTATTACCCACCGACCTGTGCCCGATTTTGCTGCGCAGTTCTCAGCGAAGGGGTCTATAGGTGGCACGTTTAGTAYCAGTTCAAGAGCCGCCGTTGGAGTTGTTCTTAAAGCTCCACCTTATGCATAACGCAGAGAGCATATGGATGTTCCTTTGGCTTTCGGATGGTCAATTTCCGTACGCCTGTCCACCATACTACTGTACCGTAGAGCAGAATTAGTGCATGAGAGAGAGAGCCCCAAGTTATGCCGAGYATCTGCCTACACGCATATAAAGCTTTCCTGGCTTTCCTCACTCTTTCTTCTACGTTGTGCTTCCACAAGGTGGCTGGTGCGGTCCTTGAGAAAGAGTTGTGCCCCATTTATAGAAAGAAGCATCTTGTCCAGGTAAACTACATAACTCCCGATRGAAATATTAGGTGTGTAGCTAGTGGTTTCTGAGGTATCTTAAATTAAAGGTAAATCCTTTTTAAGTATAGAAAAGACCATAGATGAAAAGTTTTTCTTTAATATTTTCCCATCTATTGCTCCCCAATCCGAGTTTTTCTTAAGAATATTTATATTACCAAGTTTGTTAAACATGCTTTTATTCGCCCTTATCGAAAAAAAGACATAAAGACTTATTCACATCGCATAATTTCCTCACATATCACTAAATATTTCGTTGTCACAGTCTCAGCATCTGTTAATGGTCACTATCTGTAGAACAAATTTAACCACTCTTCTTATGGTAAATGCAAGTTGCAACAGTAAAACTCATTTGTGATAATATTTCAAGGCCTCTGCTAAGCATTAAAGCAATTAACAGACTTAAACATTGATCTAACTCAACACACATCCTGTTTTGGGCAATAACAGCAAGGAAATACTTAGCAATATTTTACGTACAACAAACAACGAATGACAACAAATAGCAAATAACGGAAGTTTAAGGACAAACGAAAGTTAGCAACGGGGTACAAGTTGCAAAGGCCGTCAGCAACATTATATAGTTTTGGTGGTATTGTTTCGAGAATTATTGCTGGCGGTCAAGTTGAGCACACAAGCACTCGCATATCTCTTATATGTATGGATACTCGAAAGTGGGAAGAAAAGCGCYAGAATGCCATAACTCACGCGCGCATAAAGCGTACAATGCACACATACACACAAAAGCAGCGAACAATTAACACTTATGTGTACACGCACATACACTTGCAACACACACAATATGAGATAGGCCAGCCAAGCTGGCAACCGACCAAACTGATTTACGAGCAAACGGTTCAGTAACGGTCAAGTTGAAAACTTTTTAATTCACAACTTTTCACTTAACAAATGCTGGAAGGTTAGCGCACACAATAAATACGTGTAGACAATAGCTGAGTGTGCTTGTGTGAGTGCTGTGAAAGCGTTTTTCACGATAAATTAAACATTTTTCGCGCCATTTTAAAGTAKGTCTATTATAAATTTATTTTCAAGCGTAATTAATTTAAATTACGTAATAAATATGGCCATGAAAAATTAAGAAATAGTACTGTAAATAATATTTAAAGGAAG